TAGAAGCGAGGAGAGGGTCCACACCGACCGTAGGGGATACTGCGTCTTTTACGCCTATCCCTTCAAGTTGGGGTTTAAGCTCCCGCTCCCAATGCTAGTGGTTAATTTCTGTCGTTATTACGGGGTATGCCCGGGTCAGCTTGCTCCTTCTCTTTACAAATTATTAGCAATGCTTATCAAATATGCAGAACTGGCCGGTAGGGAGGTCACGCTGCAGCATGTGCTTAGCCTCTACGCTCCCTAGAGAGTTCGTGGTACCATGATTCGAGCGTGCCCTCGCGGGACGAGGGGCCTGACTGTGAAACTGGATGATAAGGTCGACCCTCGCCCTTTCGAGCACTTCTTCTACATCAGGACTGAACATTTAGTGGCGTGCTCTACTGGGTTCCCAGAGGCTTGGAATCATGCACGTAAGTTCCTTAATCGTCGAATTCCCTTTTTTGCCCCTCCTTACGTCTTGTGCTCATAAACGTTAACTCGTATCAATTTTGTAGCCGAAAAGTTGCCGCCGGCTCCGTTGGCTGGGATTCGTGAGTGGGTTGAGGCCGTGCTCCCCCATACGGTGGGGATACGCACATGGGCGTCTTTCTGGGAGAGGCATGGCCGTAGGCCTGTGGCAGGTAAAAAATTGATTTCTTCTTCTTTTCCGCTTTGTTTCAACTCTATTCATCAACTTTGTTTTTCTGTGATCAGGGAGGGCACGCCGCGTCAGGGCCCCTCAGTTGGCCTTCCGTCGGCCGGGTGCAATTGCTCGACTTAGTGCGGCGCCGGTGTCGCGCCCAATACCGAGGGCGGCATCAGTTGAATCTTCAGCGGTTCCTTCTCCAACACGGGCCGCACTTCGGGACGAGGGGCCATCGGGGGTTGTGCGCCCTAGAGCGGAATCGCCATCAGATGGGGATGAGGAGAGGCCATTGATAAGGCGTAGGGTCGTGTTCACGCCGGCTCCTCCTGTGGTAATTAATTTGGACTCTCCTCCGACGGACGCGGAGAGGAGTGCGGTCGCGGCGCCTGCCCTTGAGGGCGGACAGACAATGGGGGTCGCCCCGGCTGGCTTAGGCCATGATGATACCGTCGCTTCGGCGACTCAGTTGGTGGCTCCAGTCGCTGAGACGGGAGGTAGTTCCTCAGCGGCTGCTAAAGTTGGTGAGTTAAGCACTCCTTTGGTGCCTACGGTGGGTGGTTCCACCTTGCTGGTGGCGGAAGGACGAAGGGATGCTGTAGAAGATGAGTACGAGTTCGAATCCGACTTGGACCCCCACGACGTCCGTATGTTCCGGGAAGGCTTCACCAATTCAGTGGTGCGCGCAGAGGGGCGATCTCGCTTCATCGGGGTTCCCACGGAGTTGAACTTATTGCTCCAAGGGGAAAGCTTGGTGCCGCAGTTCGAGCTGCTATGCTCGGAGGCCGAGAATGCGTCGTTGAGGGGCGTTACGGATGTCGGACTGATGAATGAAGTGGCTGTGATGGGCTTGAGGGTATGTAATATAACGTCGGTTCGCTTCTTCTTCGTCTTAGTTTGTTCTTTATCTTAATCGTTGTCTTTGCTTTGCAGTCTTATTTGTTGGAGGTGGAGAGCATCCGTCGAGCCAACGTCCACTCGGGGATATTTTTGCAGGCGCTGGAGAAGTACCGCCGCTACCGAGATCGATGCCGAGAGATGCGCGTGCGCTTGAGGAATGATCCCCGTAGTCGGACCTTGGTCGAGGAACTGGCGAGGCGGGAGCTTCAGATGCAGCAAGCACTTGGCAGAGCGAGTGCTCTCGAGGAGCAGCTCCGGCGGAAGGATGAGGAGCTCGAGGCGGGGAGGAGGGCTGCAGCTGAGTGTGAGCGCCAGGGCCAGGCTAAGGCGGCGGAGGCCGCTGCGGCATGGAGCGGGAAAGTGACTGCGTTGGAGGGTGAAGTCGCGGTATTGAAGCTTCAGGTGAGGGATGCCTCGTCGAGGGCTGGGGTGTTAAAGGAAGCTATCCGCGTGCACGAGTCCCAACGGGCGTTGGAGAGGGCTGCTGCAGCCTTTAGAGAAGCGAGTGTCGAGGAGTGGATCGGTGTCTTTGAGCAGGACGCCCAAGTCATGGCGGACCGGATCACAGCTTTAGAAGAAGAGAATCAGCGCCTACGGGATCAAGCCGCTTCTTCCAGCCAGGCTCGCGAACTTTGGGTCTTTGCCGAGGCCCAACGTGATGTATATAAGAATTTGTGGGAGGCCGGCATCGTGACCGAAGCTGCTTTCGAGGGAGCGCGTCAAAAGGCTCGTGAGGCCCGTACCGACTGTGGTTTTGACGCGGCGACGCCAGAGGCTGACGCTGGTGCAGATGGTGGCGCGGATGGCGCCGAGTAAAAAGATATGCATTTTTTCTTGTTTTTCTTTCTCTTTCCTTGTATTGATCGGCCTTGGCCGGGTGTAAGCGGGGAAGACCCGCAATTAACTTTGTAGATAAATGAGATCTCCTTTCCGTTATTTGCCTTGTGTTTATTTTGTATCTCCTCTTTTTCCCCCTTAGTTTTTTCTTTGCATGCGCTCGAAGGGTGATTTGCCTTCGAGTTCGACTCTGGTAGGCATGTTAGTTTTTAATTGTTGACGTACTCTTCTTCTTCGACTCGGGGTGAGCGANTCTCCTTTCTGTTATTTGCCTTGTATCTGTTTTGTACCTCCCCTTTTTCCCCTTTAGATTTTTCTTTGCATGCGATCGAAGGGGTGATTTACCTTTGAGTTTGACTTTGGTAGGCAGGTTAGTTTTTGATTGTTGACGACTTTTCTTCTTCGACTCGGGGTGAGCGAGTCGGAGCCGTTGCTTGGCGATAGCGGCACTTAGCCTTTAGACTTAGTCCCAGTTTGGGCGCGGTCGAACTACCGACCGTGATGATAAAAAATGCGGCCTTGTAGTTTGACCGGGGCCGGACTTTACGTGTTCCTAATTTTAGTTCGAGCTGGGAATACTTACTTGAATGGCGAGGGTGCCTAACCTGTGCCTCGATTCGTTGGAGGTTGGGTTTTGCTGAGTTCAATGATGGAGGCGCTTGGTCCGAGTCCTGGTTCAACTGTGGTTGAACTTGTTAGATTTGAGGACGAAGGCGTCTAGCCTTATGGTTCAAGCGAGGTCGAACTCGTTGGATTTGATGGCGAAGGCGCGTAGCCTGAGTCTTGGTTCGACCGTAGCTAAACTTACTGGCGAAGGCGCATGGGCTTGATTTAACGGCGAAGGCGCATAGCCTGAGTCTTGGTTTAACCGTAGTTGAACTTCTTGGCGAAGGCACATAGCCTTGATTTACTGGCGGAGGCGCATAGCTTGAGTCTTGGTTCAAGCGTAGTTGAACTTTATTGGCGAAGGCGCATAGCCTTGATTTAATGGCGAAGGCGCATAGCCTGAGTCCCAGTTCAACTATTGTTGAACTTTGTCAATTTTGATGGCGAAGGCGCGTAGCCTGAGTCCCAGTTCAACTGTTGTTGAACTTAGTCCATTTTGATGGCGAAGGCTCATGGCCTGAGTCCAATATTGTGGGTATTGAGTGCTGAAGCTCGGTTTTGATTCGAGACCATGAGCGGCTTACCCGTTGTCTTCCCAACCAGGGTATATAGGCTGTCTTGAGGCGACTCTCGGCTCGAGATATCTCCATGCCGGTTTATGGCCGGAGCTCGTATCAGGGATGCGGAAGATGCCTTACAGAGATCTTCCCTTAGGAGGGGCTTCTTCTTCTTCTTTGCACTATCTGAGATCAGAGAGAGAGAGGACTTGGATCTTGATTTGAGATCTTCGAGTTCCCCTTGTCCGACATGCTGCTTTGGTTTATTTGAGCTTGGTTGCTTTTGTTTTTTCTTTTCTGGCGTTTCTTCCTTTTTGGTCCAGGGAAGAACTACACGATTTTGCTAGGAAATCCCCACAGACGGTGCCAAATTATTTGCTCAAAAGTTATCACATACCTTATGAGTATAAAACAACATAATTAAATCACGGGAAAATCATAGCAAAACGTAATAATCCATTGGACCAAATGAAGGAAACGAAAATAAGTACTCTGAGTTAGGAGGAGAAACATTAAAATCCTTTATTGATAATGCGGATTTGGCCTGCCTCTCCATGGAGAGGTTCAGAGCCTTACAGTGGTGTTCTACTCTCTCATAATATGGGTGTCATTGTGTTTTTTCTCTTCTTTCTAGATAGTGACCAAGAAGGAGCCCCCGTAATATGGTTCCCTCTCTTGGTATTTATAGCTGTGAGCTTCGTGAGCTGGCAATAAGTGGCCGTGACCACGTTGGGGTTTTGCCTTCATGATGACGGATGGGCCGTGGCCTTGTTGATCGAATCAGATGAGGGTTGAATATCGTTAACTCTGAGTGGTCGTACCACTAATTAATCATGCATTAGCTTAAGACGGGATTAGCTTCGTTAATTATCGTGGGGTCGGATTCTGACTCATACAAACTCTATAATGGCGGAAGTAAGATATTTATTAACGTGTTTAATATATATTATGTATAAATAAAAAATATTTGAATAGTTTAGGTAAAAGTGTGATTTTCGGGAACTTCGGCCTTCCTAACTAGTAACTTCGTCCTTGTATGCATATTTTTTGCCGATACGTAGATTGTTGAAAGAGCAAAATATATAGCCTAAGAACATTTTTTTTCAAGAAAGAGAAGAAGGTTGAGGTAAGAACATGGAAATTTTGGTATACTAATGGATGGCGAGTTGTCTTCCGTTGCCACGTGAATTTATGTATGCATTCTAGGAATTGATCCTTATGAAAATTTTACCTTTTGATTTCGTGTAAACTAATAATGCATGTAAAGAAATTTATACTATCAATATATTTTAACATGTCAGCAGGTTATTTGGTATATTTATTAAGTAATTAATTTACTTATAAGCACAGGATATATTGTTGTTGTTGTTGTATAATAAACAGTTATTTTATAATTAATATTGGGAAATAATTTTCTCGTTTGTTGGAGACATTATACTGGATGCAGTACGCAGTGGGGTTCAAATGTACATGTCAGCCTATGAAGAGCGAGAAACAGACTTTTTATTCACAATTCATTAGCAACATATTCTTTTTTCTACTCATTCATTCCATTGATTATTAATAGTTCTTTCCATCTAACCCACCACGCAATAAAAAGGTCTTAAAGTCCATTTTCCCCAGCTTCCCTTCCAAGAATCTTACTTCATAAATCTCAACAAATCCAAGAGTAATAAAGAAAAGTTGGTTTTTTCTTGTTCAGAGATAATTAATAGATGGGTTTTGATGATATATGTGGCACGGGCCTTGCTTTAGGATTTGGGTTTTCATCAACAGCCAATAATCAGAGATCAAGAAAACCACCAGCTGATAAAGGGGGATCTCTTAGTTTTGAACCCTCTCTAACTTTAAGCCTTTCCAAGGATAAATCTGCTGATCATTTGAGTTCCTCGACCTACTCTAATGCAAGTGTGAAAAGGGAAAGGGATATTGGTAGTGAGGAGACAGAGGTAGAAAGAGTACTTTCTTACAGAGTTAGTGATGAAGATCTAGATGATGATGTTTCAAATGGAAGGAAGAAACTTAGGCTCACTAAAGTACAATCTGCCCTTTTAGAAGAAAGCTTCAAGCAACATAGCACTCTCAATCCTGTAAGCTCTATACATCCATCTTCTTTTCTTTTTGTTTCATGGATTACGTTGGATACATAATTAATTAAGAAAATAAAAACGTAATCTTTCTAATACTAGCTTAATATTTTAGAGGAGATAGTAATGCATTTTAACATGGTATTAGATCTAGCAGGCATAAGTCTTGGATATTGAATCTTACCGTTAACTATTACCAAAAAAAAGTAGTTCACAGATTCGGCCCATAAAAAAGAACAAGGTCCACACGTGAGGGGCGTGTCGTGGGTCCAATTTTCTTTCGTGGACCAAACATAACATAATTCTTTTTTTTAAAATGAATGACGATGAGAATTGAATTCACAGCCTCTATTTGCTCTGAAGTTATGTTAAAATAGGTGACAATTTGTTTAAAAGCTTAAACTTTTACAAAAAACAACTTATTTTGGGTGTGGATGGTGGTTTTAATTTCTAAATGGTCAAAAACTGATATGACGGTTTTCGGATAATCCAGAAGCAAAAGCAGCACTTAGCTAGGAAGCTTAACGTAAGACCTCGTCAAGTGGAAGTTTGGTTTCAGAACAGAAGAGCCAGGTCAGAGATCTTACTTAATACCCACAAATTCATAGATCTGTAAACTTCCCATGATAATTAATTTAGGAATCTAAATAAGATGGTGGTGTTTTTTTAACAGAACGAAGCTGAAGCAAACGGAGGTAGACTGTGAGTTTTTAAAGAAATGTTGTGAGACGCTGACTGATGAAAACAAGAAGCTTTACAAGGAAGTGCAAGAACTGAAAGCTCTAAAACTAGCGCAGCCCTTATACATGCAGCTGCCAGCGGCGGCCACCCTCACCGTGTGTCCTTCCTGCGAAAGAGTCGCCGACGCCGGCGAAAAAGCTCCGACGAAGCCTCACTTCTATGGTCCCTTCACTAGTCCATCAGCAGCTTGTTAGTTATCTGCCACTGCAATATATAGGAATATTATTGTTATTATTGTCATGTTAGATTTTTAAGAAATCTCCCAAAACCGGCCACTTTTTTTTTTTTTTTGGATTAAGGGCTAGTGCGCAAATGAAATGACGTGTATAATCAATTTGTATAGAGTTAGAAGGTTACTGACCATTAATCAATATCTTTAATTTGTTCTTTGTCGCAGTACAACTGTGTAAATCTATAAGGAATATACACATATGAAGCAAGTATTTTTTTTAATTGGTTGCTCTTGTTAATTTCTTCCTCTCCGCATTTTCTCAGACCTAGAGTTTTGTTCTGAGTTTAGGTTATATACTCTCTCTGTCACAGTTCATGGTGGAGCTTGGATTTCGAGAGTCTCGGACTTATTAATTTTGACCGTGAATTATGACATAAAATCTTTAAATTTTTTTAAAACAAAATTTATTTATTCGAAAATTACGTAAAAAGTACTATAATTCATGATAATTAAGAATTTAAAATATCTACAAGACATACGAAAAAATTGCGATAAAAAAATTCCATTTGACTTTTGCAATTCGAACTCTGCCACATAAATTGAGACGCGAAAAGTATATAAGCACTGTATCTTATTAATTCAATTTAACTGGGAAGATTTACCTACAAAATGTTATCCCACGAAACTGTTTTAGTGGGAATGTCGTGGGAAAATGCTGTTTTTTCCCACGGCATTCCGATGGAACTGTCCGTTGAAAATAAATTAAATTTCTACTAATGATATTACACTATTTTTTTTTTTTAGATTTTTATAACGAGACGTACGGTTTAATTCCATCTAACGGTAGTATCAATGTTATATTGCGCCACGGGATAATATGGTATATTTTGCATGATCTAGTGGTATATGTAAGAAGTGAACAGTTAAAGAAATAATTAAGGTTAAAAGTAGTGCTCTTTAGGCTTTATTATATAAATTAACAAAACAGAAAGATGATGATTTGGATGATAAGGTTAGTCATGATAGAGATGATGTGTATGTGGAAAGCTAGGGGTAGGAGTCAGCTCACGTGTATTTGTCTGTAGTTATGTTAGTTTGTTTGATTGAGAAAGTGTCAACATGAAAAAGGGAAGGGGGGACACTGTCGGCCTTAGATGCGTGTAGAGAAGGAAAAGTATGCGATAGCCAAGTTTTAATTATTGGAAAACAAATTATTTAATTTTCTTTCTTTCAGATTATCGATTATACTTAAACACTAACATTTGTAATTAGTTTGCAAATACTTGCTCCACCTAAATAAGCATTACAGTGTCAGTTCGACGAAAAGTTGTGATGGGTTGATAAATCGTACTACTATAAAATAGTCAAATTATGATGAATCTTTCGAATATACATGCTTCAAAAAATTATTTAAAAGAATAGTGTTGGGCTAAACTAGCCCAAAGAAACTCTTAACCAGGTGTGATATTGTCCGCTTTGGATTAAGCCCGCACGGTTTTCCCCAAAATGCCTCACACCGTTAAGAGATCCCTACACCTTAGATGTAGACTCCCAATCTTTCCACGGAAGCCCGCAACTAGCTTCTTCTTGCGTGCCCACCACCTCGCACCATCACTCTGCCATCTCCATACTCGTCCCACTGAACCTGGGGTCTGATACGCACGGTTTTCCACAAAAGGCCTCACTCCATTAAGAGATCCATACATCTTATATGTAAACTCCCAATCTTTTCAGCTACCAATGTGGAACTTTGTTCGCATACCCAACAAATAGATATAAACCAATTTAGTTAACTAAAAATTCAAGTATGAGATCAGTTTAGATTATATATATTGTTTGTATGAACGATTTTTACACTATTTGGTCATTCAAAATCATTCTGTTAACCTTCTTAAAATACGAAATTTGTAATCTTTAAAATAAGACGGCTACCTATCATAACAGATAATAATTACTTGACGATGTAAAAAAAATTTAATATTGCCAGTATATATAACTTAAACTCATATGATCAGCGAGCTTGAGAGCAAAATCACGGGACTGATTGCAGGGGCGAGCTGCCTGAGATTTTAGTGACCTGTGGATCGCACATCATGTGATATACATAACATTACATTGGCATTGGAAATTAGAGAATCACACTCCACGCCGAGATTCTCATAAGTTTCATTATGAGCATGGAGACTTTTATGTAACAATTCATGTGGACTGTGCGCAACCTACCTCTTTGATGTATCATTTGTAACCAACCACTGGTTACTGGCTGCTAGAAATTGCTTGCTATTTGCCCATTATCAATTGCTCCACATCTTATCTTCGCCTTAAGAATATAAAGTTCTAAGAATTTTAAGCTGAAACTATATATTGCCTTTAATATTTGAAGATATACTGTTGAAATTTCTAAAATATATATTGAACCAAGAGATTTGGGCCGAGTCGATCAAGATTCAATTAGGGGCAAAGGTCAAGAGAGTAAAGCTTGCAACAGCTTTTAAGGGATATAAGTTGTACTACTAGCGTAAAAGTATTTTTTTCATAATTGTTGTAGTAATACGCGAGTTATTATTTTATAAGATTATTAATTTATGTGTTTAATAATGATTTACATATAATTATCTAATATGCGAATTGAACATAAAACAAATTATTTACACCCAAAGTGCACAAAATTTTAAACTTTATCTTAAGAGACACGTTATCATGATTGGTCACAGGCAAAGAGTCCTAAGTTGAATCATTGGAGGATCTTTCATGGTCTAACTTTCTGGTCCACTTTAGTTGGATTTTGTCAAGAATTGTCTATGTTTAGTGTGGACTATGAGATTAAATTAAAGAAAAAGAAAAAAATATAAAGGAGTAAGAGGAAGAAGATAAAATGACGGGGTGAGTTTCGTGGAAGCTGCCATTTTCTTGGTCTTATCATAATCATGTGTTTCATCACCGTCACTATCATTTACTTTTTTCTTTTCTTTTTCAGTTCCATCCTCTGGACCAATCTATAGTTACATTATCAATTTAAATTACTAATGTGCCTTTTCATTTGTAGAATTATTTTCTACCGTTCTTTTATTTCCAATTTTTCTTTTGGCCTTATAGTAACATTGGTGACGCGAAGTCATGGGACCAAACAAAGGGCAAAACATGTAAGTGCTCTGAATGACTTCTGGACACGAAGAAATAGAGATGAATGTAAAAATAGCATATGAAAAGTTGCTTTTAGAATTGTTAAATGCTTGGTTATATGCTTAACAGTATCCTCCCTGGTTACACATTTTATAGGTCAAAGTCTGCCTCAGTACTTAATGCAAAGTAACATCAAGGAAAGAGTGAGAAAAAATGACATTGTATAGCCGTTGTAAAAAAAAATAGCCGAAAAATGTATATCTTTTGTATATATGTATATTTGTATGTCATATACAAAAATTATACAAGTTTTGTACATTTTTTCTGCTACCAGATATAAATAGTTTCTGCTGCGGGCTAAAAGTGATAATATTCCAAAGAGTGAGCCGAGGTCGACCAAGAGATAGCGAGGCCCGTGGTCAGGATGCAAACGATGGTAGACGTCGAACACCGCAAAAAGAGCTGTAACGGCTAGTTTTATTAGAATAGGTGTGAGCACGTGATTTTTGCCCTATATGAATTATTCCCAAAAATTCAAACAAATGATTTCTTTCATTATTTTATCATTTTTGTGAATTTTGTGTTATTTTCTGTTAATTGTTTGCATTTTATTTGTGCATTTTTATTCATATGAAAAATATAAAAAAATATGCTTGACATTTTCATTCAGGATCTAATTTCATATTTTAGGATTATTTAGTGGTTAAGTTGTTTTTAGAACAAAATATAAAGAAAATAACAAAAACAGTTCACTTTTGTTTTTTTAATTGTTTAATTGAGAATTCGTCATGAAATAGATGTTAAACGATTTTAGGAGTTAATTAGTTTAACTTTGAAATATATTAGGACTTTATTTTAATTTTTAGCATTTTTATAAAATCAGAAAATAAAATACAAATAAATATATAAAGTACAAAAATGAAAAAAAAAACAAAATTGAATAAAGAGAAAATAAAAAAAAAGAAGAAAAAGGGAATTAAAAGAAAAGGGGCTGCTTTGTAGAGACCCACGAAGTGGGCTGTTATTTTGGCCCAAAAGAATTACCAAATGCCCAGCCCAAGTCACATCCCTTACCCGGCCTGCTCCTGGTTAAACGAAACGACGTCGTCTTGTTTAGATTAAATCTGGGCCATCAATTTCAATCAATCCAACGGTTCTTACTGGATCCAAATGATACATAAAACTGTCCGGACCCTAAGGACAGAAGTCCTCTTCCTCGTACCCTTTCCTCCTCCGCCTAGCTCCGCCGCCGGAAATCGTCCACGGCGGCGGAGAACCACCAAACGCCACCAAAATAACACCACGAATTCTCCTTCCCCTCCCCTCTACGAATCCACCACCCGTTTCTCTCAAATCCCGGCCAAATGGCTCGAATATTGAATATAAACTTTCCGGCCAAAACCCTACTTTGTCCAAATGGCCCCAAATTCATACCATACACTCCCCTCACCTCCCTCATCACTAATCCCTAACCAAATCCCCTCGAATCTGAGTAAAAATACCTGAATTTTAAATCTAGGGTTTTTGGGCATCGAGTCTGTTTTGTATGGAACTTCAAGGACAGTAGATTCCGCTTGATGTTACATGCTTATTTCCGGTGAAATAGTCAATAACATTAATCAGAATCATTTGTCGATAGCTTGGCCATGAGAAGCCTGGGATCAGTTAAGTTTTCGTCTCATTTCTTATTTTTTAGTTTGGTTCTTATTAATTCGATTCATATTTTTATTAGGCGTAGTTTGAATTATCGAATGATTCTAATTGGTAGTTTAGTTTAACAATAATCTGTTTCTATCAGGTAGTACATGTTTAGGTTAGTTTTTAGGTCGATCTCCATTGTTGTTTAATTCTGATTTGATTTTCATTCTATTTAATTTAACATTCAACTGTTAGTTAATTGTTAAATGTTAGCTTAATTCAAATTAGTTCCAATTATTGGTTTAGTTGAAGATTGATTTTTGTGTTTCCTGTTAAAATTCTGGTTTCAAATCAGTTTTGAGTATTGTTCGGGTTTGTTTGAACTGAATAAATATGGATTGATAGTCGGCTTAATTTTGATTGTCTTTCAAATTCTTTATAGTTTGAGTTTCAAGTTCTATTAATTAATCTTAGTTAGGTTAAGTTAGATTAGTTGTGTAGTTATAGCTGGTAGGTTTAT